CACATATCACACAAAGGGAGATAGACACATGGTGGGAAGCATACTGACATAAACAGAGCAATTCAAATGTTAAATTGTAAAAAGGTTGCGCATCTGTGATCTTTGAACTGCAATTTTATGTGGTTGTCCTGCAGCAGCAGCATGATGAGGTGTGGTTGATGCAACTGTTAAGGCTTTCAGGGATTGTGTTAATTTCTAATTAAGGTCTATGAGAGGGTCTGTAGGTGAACTGAACTGAAACGTTCAGCTAATTTTCATTTTTGTTAATGCATTGTTTAAAAGCATCTTAACTGTATTTGTGTTGTGTGTTTAGCTTCTCAACTGGCCTCATTCTTCAACAAAACAATAGGAGCCATCTACTTGTGTGTGGCTGGATTTGCCAGTTAGAAAGCAGGTTCAATTCCTGTTTGTAAATAGGGCACTTCATGAATGCCATGGGGAGGATTATTGATAACAAATACACTGAGGTGCAGCCAGGGAATAAGAGTGTTGCTGTGGCTGTACACCCAGCCAAAGCTCTCTTTGTCTGGGATATTTCTGCATTTGAAAGGCAGACAAAGTTTTGTTCTTTTTTTTTTATTATTTTTTTAGAACACAAATGCTTTATTTTCACCTGTATTTAACACCTGTTGTGTTTGTTCCACTTAACTCACAGAAGTTACAACATAGAAACTGCTGATAGGTAATTTGTTCTCTGCTGCCTGTTAGGACATGTATTCATAGTTAGGATTTTTTAAAGGATTCCCGTATTAGAAATTAATATTGAACAAGAAGTTATAAGAGTGCTATCTGAACATGTCCACATCACATATGGACATGTAAACATATTACGTTTACATTAATACAGTTACTGGCTAATACTCCTATGGGAACAAAATATTCTTACTGTGGGAAAACTTTCAGTGTTCTCAGGGCTTTCACAGAGGAGATTCTAGCTTCACAGTTCAAGGAATGCCTGGTTGCATCTGACCATTCAGTCCCATCAAGTGTTACACCAAGACTGCTAGATCAATGTCACAACCCTGTACGAAAGAGTCAGACTACACATGGTAGTGACTAGCTGACACTGGGTCAATGATGTGTGCACTGGTGCTTGCTCCCATGAATCCACTTCATCCTGCTGCCACCATGTTTGTTTTCTGAGGTTTGTTAAGTGGAGCAAGTTTGAATCAGCCATTAATTGTAAGTGAATTGTTTTTAGAGATGGAGACCAATGGCAAAAGATTTGCTATGTTTAAAACATTTGCTACAGAATTTCCGGTTCCGTAACTGAGATTAAGATTCATGAATGTACTTTACAG